GGCTCGAATGCTCGGGCCGAGCCTCATTTTTTTTGGCCGGGCCCGGCTCGGCTCGGGCCGAAAAAAGCTCGGTCCAAAAAAGCTCGGGCTCGGCCCGAGCTTTTTTTTCCCGGCTCGGCTCGTTGCCACCGCTAATTAGGACATTATATAGGACTATCAAAAGAAAGCCTAAAGTCAAAATAGATTATCGGGGCAGGGATGATTTTGGGTTGGATTCTGAGCGGGAAGAAGCGATTCTATTTTTAATGATGCCCTAAGATCGGCATATCTCGATTCTTATGTCATTTTATATCGGAATAGTAACCGTCCATCCCACTAATTACTACAAATATGAATAAAATCTTGAATACGAACTCTAAGGCACCGTTGGATAGCACACATTTTCTATGGAAAATGGAAATTTTTTTCCATTTTTCAACTTTTGTAGTGTTTGATAGGCAAAATTTTCTCGGGAAAAAATTTTCCAACTTTCCAAACTTTCCACCTTTTTGAGGAAAATAAATTCTTGATGTTTTGGTAGGTAAATATTTTCCATTTTTTGGCAATTGGAAAAAAATTATAGACACAATAGTAAAAAAAAATTCACTTTTATTGACAATTTTCATGCAAAATAAAGCCAAACAAATGATATTCGGCCCCTGTTGGCCCCCATTATTTCGCATTTTTTATAGTTGAAAATTTTTGAAATAGTGATTGATGGGAGAATGTGTGGTAGAAAAGTAATGAAAAGTTTTAGATTTGTGTGTAATATTATTTTATTTGATAAATGTGTGGTTGTAATGAAGAGAGAAAAATTTAATATAATGTAATTTAATTTGAAGGGGGCCAAACAGGGGCTCGATATGATTATTTATTTTCAATTTTTTTTTTGCAATTAGAACAAATTCTATACTCAATGGTAGAAAACATTATCACTTTAATGGACAATTTTCATAAAAAGAAGTCAAACGGATACCAAACTTTCAACATTTTCTATGAAAAATTATACAAATTAAACACAATTAATTACAATTCTCAGTAAAATAATTTCTAGACAAATCAATTCTCTGTAAAACATTTTCTTTCCACTCATTTTCCTCCTTGGACTCTAAATAAAAGATCTAATCAAACTAATCACACGAATACAAATTAGAAAACGTAATAGCAAAAGAAGAATTCTTCTATAACAATTTATGAACTTTTCGATGAATAGTTTCTCTCTACCAAGTACCGACCCTTCCCTCCAAAACCTTTAAACCTTGAAAATAAGAATAATTAACCACCAAAACTGAAAAGTGGCTTCTCTTTAATTTTGAATCACACATTCTTCAATAAAATAATATTTTCCATCACATCAATAATTTTTTTTTCTTTTTCAACCTCACATTTCTCATCATATCACTATTCAAAATCAATTCTTCCCCCAAAAATCTCTCCCAAACAAGCTCCAAATTCTATACTCAATGGTAGAAAACATTATCACTTTAATGGACAATTTCCATAAAGAGAAGTCAAACGGATACCAAACTTTCAACATTTTCTATGAAAAATTATACAAATTAAACACAATTAATTACAATTCCCAGTAAAATAATTTCTAGACAAATCAATTTTCTGTAAAACATTTTCTTTCCACTCATTTTCCTCCTTGGACTCTAAATAAAAGATCTAATCAAACTAATCACATGAATACAAATTAGAAAACGTAATAGCAAAAGAAGAATTCTTCTATAACAATTTATGAACTTTTCGATGAATAGTTTCTCTCTACCAAGTACCGACCCTTCCCTCCAAAACCTTTAAACCTTGAAAATAAGAATAATTAACCAACAAAACTGAAAAGTGGCTTCTCTTTCTCTCAGTCCCTAAATTTCTCGATCCCGTCTCTACAAAATCCATCAATTAAGATTTGCTAAAAGATGAAAAGATTATGTCTTTTTTTCAGTTGTTAGATTTAATTTCCAATTTTAATGCACGGAGCAATCACCACCAAAAGTTCCATTAATGAAACACAATTGGGTAATGCCATTGCCATCCGCCAACGGCGGTGCGCAACAGAATTCAGGGCTGAAGAACTCTTCGACTTCTCAGCCACACGGCGGAGATCCCACAGGAGGACGGAAAGTTACCGGGCGCCGTTCTTCTGACAAAGCCATAATCCAAATAAAAACTTTATGGAATCATGCAACAAAAATAATGGATTTGAGAGATTGGATGGTGAGAAGCTCCGGCACACGTTTTCCGTCAATTCGGCGGCGGTAGGTTCTGCAACTAGGTCTTCCTCCAATTTGTCGGATCAAAATAGCCACAACGATGAGAGGAAAACGCCGTCGGAGCGCCACCATTCGCGGACGAAGAATGAGCCTGAGGAGGTAGACAGTTCAGTCAAACTACCAACAGGAAACTCTGCCTCCCCCCACCTTAACCAATTCTTCCGGTAATGGCGCCGGGGACGCCATCGTTGACCCAAAAAGGATCAAAAGGTAAAAACCATCAACAATTCACGCCCTGACAGAGAAGGGTAAACTAAACTCCTGCCAATTTTATATTGCCTGCAAACTTTGAAGAAATAGTGAATTTTCTAGTTGAAATCGGCGGCTCTCCCGGGGATTCCTCATGAAAGTTCAACAATAAGGGTACATTTGATTGTAAGAGTGGAATTTGGATAGCAGGATAGCAGGAAATTGAATAGAATTGTTTTTCTGGGAATTGTCAATTAATTGTGTTTGATTGGTATAATTTTCCACCTAGAAAATGTTGAAATTTTGAATTTTTTGGTGTTCGTTTGACTTTGTTTTCCATGAAAATTGTCCATTAAATGGAATTTTTTTTTTACAATTATCCATAGAATTTGTTTTCATTGCAAAAAAAAAATAAAAAAAAATTAGAATAATAATAAATAAAACCTAGAAAATCAAATCTCACCAAATTGGTGGGAATTCATTTTCATCAAAAGCAAGGAATTGGATGCTCGTGAGCCAAAACCAAGAAAATGAATTGCCCAGAAAAAAAAGTGTATCAAACATGTCTAAAGTGGAAGTTGAAATTTCTTTTCTACTTTCCATGGAAAGTTTGGGTGGATCAAACAGGGCCTAACTGTAAGTTGCTGGCTACCTAAGGAAATGCGTAAAATTGCTAATAAAATGTTTGAACAGTATTACTTAAGAATTCATTTATGAAGTTATTTATTTCAAATGTCATAGCAAATTATGGTCTTTCTTTCTTAATCATTTCAGTTTTCATGTCATGTCCAATTTGGCTGACTAACCATACCCACTATAGGTTTGAAAAATCTGAATTTTAGGTTTCGAAATTGATGTGCTTTTATTCACAAGTTTGGAATATTTTCTATACGATTTCTCATATTTATAGTGAAGAATTACTAAAACACGAAAGAACAAAGAGCATCTCTCGAAAAATAAGTAGAAACTCTGCTATATCATATCACTGCACTAGGTAGCATGATGCATTCCTTCCCTCGTGTTTTCCTCCGTGTGGACACTCCGTCGGATCCACTAATATTTGAACAACATCCAACGACGACTCCTTAATGGAATAACGTGCGTCGAAAATAAATGTTTGGGGATCTAAATACAAAAAATTGATTTTGAGTACCCATGTGCTCTATTTGTAAAAACTAGGTGACCGCGATTTATATCACACATGCAAATCCCTAATAACTGTAATTTTCCCAACAAATCCCTTTGTGATTTTGTGTTTGCAGGAACTGAAATTCTCAATAAATGAGAATAGCATGCGATTAAATTTATTAGTAACCCAAGTTAGTTAGTTAATTACAACACACGCATGCAATAAAAAAAAATAATAATAACATGTTAGGATGCTACACTTGAGTCTTGATCCACAAATTTAAAAGAATTTTTTTTTTCTTATAAAAAAATCTCAAATTGTTCTGATGTACTCTTTTTTTTTTTTTTTTTCCCTTTTTTTGATCAGTTGTTCTGGTATACTTTTCTTTCTATGGACTCTGTTTATTGCAAAATAAGGGGGTGTTTGATGAATATTATTGATGAAAAAATCTATTTTAAATATTGATATGATGAGAAATATGTGATTAAAAAGTAAGGAAAAATTATTGATGTGATAAAAAATATTATTTTATTAAAAAATGTGTGGTTGAAAATGATTTTTGAGAGAATGTGTCAAACAGGGGCTAAAAGGGAAAATAGATTAAAAATTTTGGAAAAAGTGAACTTCTTGGTAAGTTCGATAATTGTAGCATAAAATTGTAAGTAGTAATATATGGGAAATTAAAATTTTATTTTTGAAATAATAAAAAAAATCCAAGGATACCCAATGGAAAATATATTAGGGTCCGCTTGCCATTTTTCTCCATTAACTTTGAATGTTTTTGGGTGGCACTTTTTATGAGAGTTTGAAAAAAGGATTATTCTAGTGGTACATCACCACTTATATAAGGGTGTCCATAACACCCTGATGTAAGAGGTGATGTACCGTTAGCATCTTCCTTGAAAAAATCAGTATAGCGTAATTTGAATTGTATTTCTCAAGCCACAAAATTGGTGTTTTTTTTTTATCGTTTTTCAAAATTTCTTCCAATTTTACACTATAAGAAAATTATATCCAAATCTACCATAAAAATGAATGAAATCATTTTCTCCATATTGAATTGTAAGGATTACTGATATATTGTTTACACACACACATATACGGCACATATGCAATTTTATTCTTTAAAAAAAAATCAGAATAGTTGGATAATAAATTGACAACATAAATTGGATTATTCTAGAAATCATCTAAAATCAGACTCGTCGTAAAATGTCCAACATCGGTATAACCAATGCCTCTATACTCTTAAGCAGGCCCAAAGAATCATCTCGTAATCGTCACTAATCTTCCAACACTGTTCTCCATTTGTATATCTTTTAGGGACGGATAGAAAACAATGTCGGACATTTGGTGACAGTTTTGGGACAATTAAAAGTTTAAGTACCGAATAGAACAAGGTGTAAACTTGGAGTACCCTTTTAAATTTCTCCTAAGAGAGAATAGCCGCCGGCATGAATAATTTTATACCATGTGGGTGCAAGTATACAATTAAATAATGGTAACCTCACTCCCTTTCACGGAACCTTCATTGAGTAGTCAAACTTCATTGAGTTGTCAAAGAGTGCAACTAGTTCAAAAAATTACTGGAATAATTGCAAAATGTCACTATATATAGAAGAAGACTTGGGATCAATACTGACTGCTATGTTCCTCAACCATGGCTTCTTTCGTCGCAAAATCTCTTTATCTTCCTTTTCTTCTTCTTCTTCTCTCGACCCCGGTGGCCATAAATAGTCGACGATTGCCCTATACTTCTTCCGATGAAGTGGTATCGGATGGAGTTGGAGAGTCCGAGTCCGAGTCCGAGTCCGAGTCCATAATACGCTTCAAAGGAATGGATTCAGCTGCAGAGGAGTGTGTTCAAATGTATGGCTTCTTGCCATGCTCGAAAAACATTCCAGGCCATTTGTTTCTTATTGTGGTTTATGAATATCTTTTGTTTCATGGAGAATCCTACGTTGCCTCTGGAGGTGAAAGGATTTTCAAAATCCTTGGTCCCGGTATATTCGGTGCATGTGCATTTCAGGTTATCGGCTCGCTTCCGGAGGCCTTGATACTCCTCGGTAAGGCCCTCGTGTTTCTGCGTCTTGTTTTCAATAAATTAGAATCCCTTTCTTTCAATCATAGAGTTTTGAATATTGAGAATATTTTCTATGTAATTTTATATTTTATTAAGTGCTAGGGTCCAAGATTAGGTAGAGAGCACGTCGTCTATTCGACATAGAAATGTGTCAATTTTTAAATATTTAAAATGGGATAAGCGAAATATTCAAAGTTCAGAGTAGTAAATTGAGTTGGCAACTTGAAGCATGAAGTTGGCAAATTTGATCTGGATTAAGGTTGACCAAGAAAAAGTCCAGGATTCTGTTCTAATTAATCTTCCTTAGAGTACACAATTAATTATATTTATGTAATGTAATAATATTTTTAAACTTTGATTTTTTTTATTTTTTATTTTTTATGTGACAGCATCTGGGATGCTGAGCAGTAGAGATGTTGCTGAGGAGTGTGTATTGACTGGAGTTGGATTGCTGGCTGGATCAACAATCTTGCTTCTTACAGTATTATGGGGGACTTGTGTCATCGTTGCTAACCAAGATTATTCCAATCAATTGAAGCCTAATCCTTCATCCACCTCAAAATGCAGAAAACTAAACCCTCTTGAAAGATTTCTCACACCATTGTGGCCAGGTTTGTGATCTTTATTTCCCTTTTGTTATTTACCTACATGTCAATGAGATTTTTATGTCGCAATTGGCGGAAAACGATTTATCTAGTCGACCCAAATGTATCGAGAAAAAGCTTATTTTGTCCTTGTAAATGTGATTGTATTTCTTGAGAAGTTATAAATGGTATAACGAAAATTCATAAAGAGGTACCTTGAGAAAAGAAAAAAGACTTTTTGGGCATGTTTGATGGGGCGTTTGCTTGTGCTTCTCGTCGTAGAATTTTCTGAAGAAGCTATCTTAGACCAACTTACTCTAAAAAGCTCTTCTAGCAAGACAAAACACTTTCGAAAAATTATCCAAACGGGGTTCAAAAGAAATTTCTTAGTTTTAGAAGTAGTTTTTGACTTTTCAAAAACCTTGTCAAACCGACTCAAACGGGCATTTGTTTGTTGTATTTCTTGAGTGCCTTTTGTAAATTTTCCCTTCATTTGGCTGCAGGTCATGGTGTGATAACAGATCTGTGGACATGTTTTACTGCAAGAATCATGCTTCTTTCAGTGATCCCACTGACGATGATTCAAATTCCCAACATTTTCCATTTATCTTATGTTGGAGAAAGAATTTGTATACTGATTACTCTTGTTGTTTCCATCATATTCCTGCTCTCTTACTTCTTCTATCAGGTATTTATTCGTCGTCTGTTGGCATTTACTCAAGGTTGAATTTTCCAAAATGGCTCAAAAGGATAGGGAAAATTATATTCTCAAACTAATGGATGGATTGCACTTAGTTTATTTGAAGGGAATATTTCTGGACAGTGTGGAACCTAATCATAATATAAATTCTGTTCGTGCATATATCTGTTAGACTGTGTATGCATATATCATAAATTTGTGTGTGGTTTGCTTGTTTTCTGATTTCCTTTTTAGTTATTATTCATCTCGTAATTATGGATTAGGACATTATCCAGAACAAAATAGATGCAGCTGAAACAACATATATAGATGTTAATAAAGTTTCCTTTTTGAGGGAATTGCTAAATCTTGCAAAAAATTATAAACAAACCTTACTTAGAACTTGACTTAGGGTGATTTTTCTACTTAATCTCGTTCGTGTGATCTCCAATTTGTCATTGTGCGCGTGTGATGCATGATGTTCACTTTCTTTACTCGATGGGGCCGTGATTGTTCTTTTAATAGTCATCTAAAGATCCCAAATGTTGTGTTAAGAAACAATGACTTCCATTAAGAATCTAAATTCTGTGTTACATGTTAAGGTTTGCAACCAGGTTTATTAGTTATAATCCCCTGCATAAGATTTCTGAAACCAGTTTTTGTGGAATAAAATTAGTGTATACCGTCACATCCTACGTAGAAGTAGTTCCCTTGTACACGATCTTTTAAGCTGATATTCAAATTTGAATTTTTGCACACTAGTGTCATTTTTCACTCCTGGTTCAACTTGTGCCTTTCTGATCTGCAATCTCGTTTCACAAATTGAGCAGGTGTTTCAACCTTGGATTCAAAAAAGGCGCTTATTGTATATAAAGCACGAGCATTTAGTTATCGACATATTAAAACACGTGCAGAATCAAACGATGGGAAGATTCCTAACTGAGAATGGTGCACCAAATTTAATGGCCATAAGAAGGTACCTTCTGATAAAAATATAAATTTTCTACCCAAATATCTTTACAGCCTAATAGCCCGTCGATAAAATTTGTTATATGCATACTATTTGCTGCAGGCTATTTGAAGAAACGGACCATGATAGAGATAAGCTCATCTCCCTTCCCGAGCTAAAAGAATTTCTCCAGGAAATCAGATTCAGAGAAATGAGTTCGGACAAGGACAATGTAACAGAAGATATTATGAAGGAATTTGATGCTGACAATGACAAGAAGATAACAATGGACGAATTTGTAAATGGAATGACAAAATGGCTGGATGAGAGTAAAGGTGCAGTGAATAAAAGATATCACTCGATTAAATCTCTAAAAGATTTGTACCAGGTAAGTTCATAACATTTTCCACGTTCTTAAACAATTTTTGTTTTCCATTAGGTGGAATTAACTTGATTTATCCGTCACAGGTTATCAAACCTTGGATTCAAAAGAAAAGGGAAGAACGGGAAGTGATGAAACATCTTGTGCCGCAAATTCTAGAACATTTTGAAAACTCTGTACAGGGGAGCCTTTCAACAGAAGATGGAGCTCCTGATATACTTGCTATCAGAAGGTCAAAAAAGTTTTAAAACTGTGCACGTTCCTCACCTTTGATAAAAAATAAATCTGGCCTGCACAGATTTTATGTAAAGTATGTATAAAACTGCCTATAAATGGTAATTGATTTGTCAGTAAATTGCAGGTTGTTCGCAGACACTGATAAGGATAACAATGGCTTCATATCATACACTGAATTGAAGGACCAGATGAATAATATGAAGCATGGCATAATACGTATTGACATAGATGCAGCAGTGTCGAAAATGATGGAGGAACTTGATGTAAGTGGAGATCACTTGATTAGCGAGGACGAATTCATTACTGGATTGAGCAAGTGGCTTAACATGACTTATAGTCAAATTCCCAAATCTGAAGATAGTGAAGAAAATATCTATGAAGTAAGTAGAATCTAAATATGTCTTCCGGTTGTGTTCAGTTACTTCAGTACTACATATTAAACACGGTTTTAATTTTTCTAAACCTACATTTGAACAGAAATCGTGGGAACAGACTGATAAGCTGGTAGAGAATAAGTTGATTGACAAATCACCATTTGCCTGGTTTAAGGCCATATCTCTTGTGGTGCTTGGGATTGTTACACTCGGGCTTCTAGCCGAACCTCTTATAGACAGTGTTCGGAATTTCTCTTCATCTGCAAGCACGCCTTCATTTTTCATTGCTTTCATTTTAGTCCCCGTGGCTACAAATTCAAGAATAGTAATATCTGCTATAAGCGAGGCACGCAGGAAGAAACTACACACCACTTCATTGACATTTTCCGAGGTACATTTCTTTCATTTTACTCATATACATATGTTTTGCTTCTTAGAACTGACAATGGGATTTGAATAATGCAGATATATGGGGTCGTGTTCATGAACAACACACTTGGCCTTGTAGTTCTTCTTTCTCTGATCTATTTTCGCGGTTTAGCGTGGAAATATTCGGTTGAGGTTCTGATGGTTTTAGCTGTTTCTGCTATTATGGGATGCCTAGCAAGTTTTACCACTGTTGTCCCTATTTGGACATCATTCTTGGCTTTTATGTTGTACCCTCTGTCTTTAATCCTGGTTTATTTTTTTGGTGATTTTAAATGGTTGTCCTGAAACTTTAGGATGTTTAAAAATAAGCAGAATATGTAATTTTTTTTTTTTTTTTTGTTGGGTAAAGTGAAAACGATACTCCTTTTACGTTCTTTTGATGAAATTGTTATGTCTTCAACTTGGAGCCTTTAGCTTCACACATGGAAGTCACGTGCCACATCGACCAGCACTTGGTCGAAGCGACAGCCTCATATCCCTTGCTCAGCTTCTTGTCAGAGAGGCAATTTGGGTTTTAAAAATTCGAAAGAGGTCTCTTGTGAGAAAATTTTAGAACAGCGTCTTTTATTTTTTACACGTTGAAGTGAGAAAATCAAAACAAACATGAGATCGATTTTTTTTTTGTTTCCTATTAATATAAATTTTGATGGACAGACTGAAAAGTGAAAATATTACATCGAAAATTCTTTGTTTTTGCAGATATGTGGGAGTTCGGAAATCAAAGTTTTGTTGTTCCTTTAGAGAATCTTGAATGTATGAGAGTTTGAACTTAGAAATAAATTTCAATCTTTCGTTCAATATTCACCAGAAAAAATGACAAAGCAATTTTTAAATTTTTTTTTTTTTTTTTAAATTTAGAGAGAGAACCTAATCTTGCAAAGGACATAATTGAGTTGGAGAAAACGTATGTTGTGTCACGCCCGCATACGAATTGGTGGGACCCAATGAAAAGAAGGGATAAAAGAAAAATGAAAAAGGCAAAGAGTAAAGGAAGACAATGGTGTCAAAAAGAGAACAAAGGAAAGCAAAAGATAAAGGAGACAAAGTCCGGTTGAGGGATAAATTCCATCGATTAATTGTCAAAGGATAGACTAATATATAAAGAGTTCGCATTATTCTTTTTAAAAATATTGATATTTTAAGATAAAATTCCAAATTTTAATATGACATCAGAATCTATTAAACTTAAACAGACAATTTGATCATATTAAAAGAAAGAACAAACACACGTATTTTAAAATTGATGTACTCAAATGAAATATAAACTAACATATAAGACGTTTGAGCTGCTTCTATAAAAAATGTTAACGTTTTAAGATGAAATCTCGCACTTCAATAAATTTTGCAAGAAATAATCTTATTTGATCAATATATATTGCACCAAACAGGGGCTAAATAAATATATAGGGAGATAAATTGTGATATAAAATTTGATGGTGGTTTTGAACATTTTCTAGTTAACATGCCCCGTACAAAAGTAACCAAACGTAGGCCTATTTTTCTTTGAAAAAGCCATATGTAGGCTTTTCCTTCACAGATGTTTTACAGTTGCTGCGTTGATTGATTCTCTCTCTCTTTTTTTAAACTTCCAATAAAATGATGCCAACTGTAATCTGTGAAGGAATTCTGGGAACAAATTCTATACATGTAACACGACAATTTAACTAACAAGGAAAAAAAAAAGAACTGTGTGAGGACCCACCTCATGTGAGAGCTCAGCTTTGTTAGTGGTGACAAAAAAGCTCGTCGACTAGGGCTCGGCTGGGAAAAAGCTCAAGTCGGGCATCGAGCTTAGGCTCGGGCCTAGCCCCATTTTGAGGGTCGACAGAGCCGAGCCGAGCCGGGCCGGGCCGACCCGTGATTAATTAAAAAATTTTAAAAAAGAATTTAAAGCTAAAATAATTGAAAAAATTAAAAAAAAAAAA